GAATCCTATCAGATCTATACTGCATTGTAGACGATCTCTAACGCATTAATTAGATAGATATTGAAAGATCTCAATGTTCTACAAAGATCAAAATTACGTAGAGTCCTTATGAAATTTTTCTCTAACTATATTTTAAATAAACTTATTTTAATATGTATACGTGTAATAATACTGTGGTATGCACTGTCTACAGTAATGTCTTCAGTTTATATGTAGTATCAGTGCTAGAATAATTAGGATGGTTTAGAGAATCTTCCGAACATCATAGCTTAACAGACTAACCGGTAATAACTGCACTTGTAAGATTATTATTAACACGATCTAAACTTATATCACACTTAAACACTACAGTAAAAAATATCACATTGTTATTATACTAAGCACTTAATAACCATGTATAAGCACTAGGATTTAAGACTATGGATATTTTTATTTGGGGTATGAGAAGGCATGGTGATACATAGTGGCACGTAGTGACGACAGTAATCTTGCAGATTTATATATATACATACGTATGAACATTAATCGTAAAAGAATAAATCACTAAAAGGTATCTAGGCCATACATCTTCAAAAAAATTCTTTCAGGTAATCCTTTTAATAACGAACGGTAGCTTAGCGTATGGTAACTTAAGGTCAAATAATGGTATATGATAGGTATCAGAGGTTAGTACAGTATTTTTGTCCCAGTAGGAACTACTTTACAAAATACACTTTGTTATTATAAACAAATAGGGCAGTCTTTGCAAAATAATATGTACTGCAATGGTTAAAATAGTTGAATCTTCAATTACAGTAAAATTCAGAAAGCTATCACACCTGTCAGGTAAAGAAACAGGTTGTACAAATTATTATCTGAAATCAAAAACTGTCGCAATTTAAAAAAATGAACATTTGGTAGAGAATTTTACCCTATTTTAATCGCATGGCCCAGATAGCAATGTTATCACCTACAATGTAATATCTAAACGGAGGTGAATATTCCACATATGCTTACAATAGAGCATAATTTGTGATAATGTAACGCCATAGAGGTAATTAATATACGTAAAGACGAAATTTAGATGAAGTAGGAGAAAACTTTTATGCTATTAAAGAACACTTTTCAGGTTATAACTGTAGTATCTTGCGATGGAAACTGCATATGAATGTGCGCATAGTTTATCAACTTACTATACGGGTATATTACTTATCGAAGTATTCGGAGTCTGTTCCAATTCAATGTTAATAAATTCTTCGTGCCTAAAGGATAGTAAGAATTGAAATATACCATTATATAAATGCTTATAGAGTAAAGCGAAATTGTAAATTCTCAACCTTGGGTTTAACTTTTATTCGTTATGCTTTAAATGATAGATTTTACTTCAGATCCCTACTATCTAATCAAAAATTAATTTATTAATGCACACTACAAACTTTCCTTATGAGACAGATATATCAGCAAGAAAATTTCGCCACCATTATTAACAATCAAACTTTGGTTTGACAATACTTTTATTATCGATCCTTTGCAATATTGCTTACTTGCATATTTTTAACGCCTTCATGATAATCAGATCAGCTCTAAGGCAGTTATTGATTTAGCGATGACGGTACAATTTTTCAAAATGTATTTTATTTCATTTCAATACTTGCACTGCAAATAGCGTCATTTATTGAATCAGAGCAATGGCTGGAAACTCTAATTCATAATATACATTATATTTCCTGTAAAGACTGTGTCATAGTCATATAGTAATGTAATCATTGTGAAAATCCTTCATTCGTCACTTTTCTGAAAGATTAATTTCTTTCTGGAACAGCTTTAGTACCATATGGTGCGAAGCGATTTTACTGAAATCGCGAATGTTAAGCAATGGATGTCATTACATTAAGATAATCATATATTATTTTAATTAAATTATTCATTTCAGTACAATATTACGTGATACTAAAGCATAATTTTCAGTTATTCCATTTAATGGGATAATCTTATTTTCGGATCTCTTTCTCTAATTTTACTCATGGCTTGGCATACAATAATACTATTGTAAATTTACTCCTAATTACTATTCATAAAGTCATGATGGTCATGTTAATGAAATGCTCACATTGCGTAATTAATCAAACAACCAATGCAGTATACTAAGAACTCGATTATACTGTATATTTATGATTACCAATCCGCACTATGGTTTTTCGAGGTTTTTTTTAGATTCTAATAAATTAAAAGTCTTAATACTCCGATAATCTGCTTCATCCTCTTAACAATTTTAATTAAGTAAATAACAGATTTTAATGCCAGATGTTGTACTACAAGTAGACCAATCCTTGAATAAGCATTGAACACTGCCGTATTTTTTTATGTCAATAAATTCGTAATCACAACTTGCCGTACCAGCACTTCTTATGCAGCTCTTAATTTATTTTAATTTGTAGATAGAATCCTTTTATAATCTTTCTATCTTGGAAAGAATCATCATTCTTTTAGTCATACGCGTGATTAATCTTTCAATACTAAGCGTTTCTAAACCACTCAGGTAAATTCTTTCCGCTATCATGCAGCGAATGAACGATTTAGTGACAAGATTTACGTATACTAAAGCGTCTACAATGGGAATATTATGCTCTAACTGTTGGAGCAAACTTTGGATTCAAATACTACCATAGACATTGCCACTAATTAAATTGAACTAAAGCAAACAATAGTAGGACAGCGTAATTTATTGATGCGTAGCATAGTATAAGACCATCGGCGAAATTTTGATGTCTATGTAAATACTCTGTTGTACACGTGCTTTCTATTTTTATCTTTATCTCGATGCAACTTCACGTACCAGATATAAAATAAATATTTACCTAAACCTATCTCGATTTTGCATTACAAACTTCAAGATTAATAAGGAAAGGCTGATACATAATTACGCTTGCAGATTGATAAAACTTGCACTTTTTCATTAAAATTATAACTTGAATGAAAAACTTTAAAACTCCAGGCTGCAGTCTGAAATGAACAATTTGTTCTGAGTGTGGTAATATTATACGCTGAGCAATGTATGAACAACTTCATTTCTATACGAGTATATTCTGGCCTTAATTAAGAAAAAGGATCTAAATGATAAGATTCATTTTTTGTCTGTTAATTTTGCCATATGTGACAAAACAACATAATGATGTTTCCATGGCTATACCAACGTTAGGCTTTGAATATAGTAAGAGATTGAATGCGTGATCATATCTCATTTTTGTATTCTTTGACGGTGATATTTATTTCTACGGTAAACCTTTACTCATTGATTGCTATAGCTCAGTTATCGTGCTATTGCAGCAATAAGCATTACCAATTATTCTTGTCCATGACAGTACATACGGGTATTACGTTATCTTTATACCCTAAAAAGGGATCATTTAGCAAAACAGAGTCTTCTTGTAGAGCGAAGAATCTAGTCTAAAATTGATATTTATAAAAATTAGTCTTGGTCGTCAAAAGATTATGGGAATGATAGAATTAGAGGACTTATTCTGCTTTCTTTTACCATTCTCATACAACAAGAATACTAGATTAGTGTACTAGTGAATTAGTGTTCGTACGATTGATCATTTACTGGCTTAAATCATGAGAATGTGTGTGTACAAAAGGTTATGCAAACACATTTCATTAATTAATTCTAGTGTTGTCTATACCGGCCGGCAATTCCTTTTTCAACGAACGTACGATATGTTGATCAGTAATACATAGGCATACCGGTACATACTCGTATTCGTATAGATATATATTGGCAAATAAAAAGATGCTACGTAAAAATACTCCACATTAGCGTCCAAATAAATATTACTAATAGCAAAACCCACCTGCGGTATATCATCGCCAAAAAAAATGATTAGCCAACCGCATTGTGATTAGAAGAAAAACTTTCAGAAATCAATTTCTGTAATATCTCAATATAAACATGATTTCTTAATTATCATTAGAATGAATCCATTGACCACGAAATGTTATTTAATATCTTAAACTTACAGTACAGTCCGTTTTTTCATCTTTATTCGATATACGAGTACTATGAGAGTAAAAGATCCATTTGAAACTGACTGATATTTAAGACTAGATTTGGCGATGGGCATGATCTATCGCAATCGATGCTACTATCATTAACATGGCACCTACAGCATACTTTAATAGCGAATTTTTCGCCGTTCTATAAGCTTACTTTACATACGAACCATGGCGTCGCTTTACTTACAGGAATACCAACAATTGAATGTTCTGCAGTATGACTAGAAATTAGTTCTATTAACATGAAAATAGCAATACCAGGAGTAATTTTGCTTAAACTATCGATTGATTCAAATTATTATTTTTTATATTACGTTAATCATCCGTTACTAGGGATTGCTATTGGTTATTTATGTCATTGACGATATTTAGTAACAGAGATTTTTCTTTCTTAAAGCGAAAGTATGAAATCGATCAAAGAATATAAATGATCAAGACTTTATTCTCTTTTTCTGTATTAAAATTACAACAACCCATCTCATTTAGCCTTCCTGAACTCGAAAATCATATCATTTGTCCGATTTTTACTGCCTCTACCTTTTCCATTACCAGCTGGCATCCATTCTAATTTGGAGCATACTATACAAGGTTTAGGAGACTATCCAAATAAAATATTGCTTGCAAGAAACTATTGTTGACAGTACACAGAGGAGTGCAAGCACGGAGTAACATATTTGTTTGAAGGATATGGCAGGCTTGGGCAGGAACAGTAGAATGAATGACGGATCGATGCAGTCAGGGTGCAATGCAGTAAGTACACAGTATGGTACCGGTCCATTTAAGTCCTGTGGTGTAGTGGCCTTAAAAGGGCCTGCTGCTCACTTTCAGGCCCATATTACCGCACAATTAAATTAATTCATTTACTTATTAACAAGGCAACAAGTATGGCTACCGCTCCTCTTACTGCAGAGGCTAATATCGATGGCGAAGAATTACCGCCTAATATTAAATCAGACAAACCCAAACAGATGGGAAAATATAAAATTGTTTTACTTTGCTTGTCATGGTATATTGTCAGCGCTAGCAACAACGTAGTTGGTAAATGGGTTTTACGCGATTGGCCTCATCCTTTAACTTTGTCCTTTATCCAAGTGGTATCGCAAACGGTTTATCTTGGTTCACTGCTCAAATTTTGGCATGTCGATTCACTCCCTTATGTTGTTTATAAATCGTACTGGAGTAAAATCCTTCCTTTAGCGGCTAATAAAATTTTAGGTGCTTTACTTAGTCATGTTGCTATTTGGAAAGTTTCTGTATCTTATGCACATACAGGTAAGTGCTGTTGAAGCTTGCATTACAATCCATCTACTTGTATATTGCTTTTGCTGGTACAAGCTAACGACTTTAATAGCAGTAGATCTGTGATATGCATAGAACGGCACATCAACAGAGACAGTGGCCTATTTTCTTGAAGCTATCAATTTCTGCTAAAATTTAAATAGGATAGTGCTATGCCTGGACTTGACGTTTGTGGTCATGATGATTCATTTAAAATCCCAGTAGTTCATCTAATGTTTTGCTGTTACTAACATCAAGTTGACCCGATCTGTACAGATTGAGCTACACAAACTGTTCAATTTGAACAGGTACATCTTCAATAATCTAATTTATTCATCATTATTACCCTATACTGGTCATTTTGCAAAATGACCGCAAAATTTGTCATTTTACAAATTGCCCGATTATTTTATAAAATGACCGATTATATTATCTATACGGTAAACGACATCTACATTGCACGCACAGAAGAAATCAGGTGATTATGTAGATATCATACCATACAAATTGCAAATACGTTCTAGATGTCCACATCATTGTTATAAATGCTAAAACCGATGTTGAAATACCCACTACAGACGTACAGTTAAGAATACATAATACCGGCATGCAACGAAATAAAACATATCTTTAAATAAGCCATATGTTGTATATTTGCAGCATTATGTTAATCGGTCCATGACTAATTTAATACACGTGGTATTGATAAAGTGTTTAATTTAAACTGTTTTGTTCTAGATGCCAGATTAACAGGTTCAATTTCTATAATTTATAAAATAGAACGCGCACTATAGAATCCGGTGTTATAAGGATGATAAATAATAGATTCACATTTTATGCAAGCCATTGCTGATATATTACTGTACTTTGAGCTGATCATATACGGTAGACTCTATTGTAAGGTAATAAAATGAGACTTTGATACCTTCCTGCATAGTTCATGAATGAATGACTCCATTTACGGGTAGGCCTTCTTTCTAAGCTCAGTGAGCCAAATAAATGAATAGGTTAAGCAATGCAGATTACGCGTAGTCGTTACTTTAAGCCTTTGCTTACGGTAAGCTCAATCAAAGTGAGATACTATAGTATCCTATCCATATACGTATTCATATTAGCTCATAGGACATCGTGCCATATGCGGAAAATCCTACAGCTCTGCACAATAGATATCATGATATAATAAATTTACTTTATACAGTATGTTCTTTACAAAGATGTTAACCCTAATAACGGAATGTTAATCTATCTTTCTGTGGATGTACCAGGCAGAGCACTAATGTCAGTATAACTGCATAGATCTCAACGTTTATTTGCAGTAAAATACGGCCTTCCTTTTGACTGTTTATATAATCCAGACATCACTAAAAGCTTACTATTGTATGATGTTAACAGCCAGCAGTGTTCGCTAAATACAGCAGGATCGCTTAGAACTGCCCGATTTATTAATATAATTTACCATTATGAGAATAATATATAAAGGTTGACATGAGCTGTGCCTTTTATATGTATTATAATACTATTGCAGTTCTCATTAAGAAACCTATCTGACAGTAATTACGTACATATGGACTTGTAGATCCTACAGTATTGCAACCAATAAAAGGAAGAATGAGTCTCTGGCTACTATTGCTTACCTGCGAGCTATTGTGCCTTACAAGCCCAAGTTATGGCGCTATCATTTACTGACGTAGCTGTAGAAATTATCAAATCAAAATATTAAATCTAGAAAAGTAAATTTCTATTACTAACTGACCAATTGTCTGCAAAGCTATGCACGTACTATGCGGATACTATACAATTTCTTTACGGCTTATTAAATTATAGATATGGCTTGTAATTTTTATTCGATTCTGCATTATAGTACAGTAACGATTATAATTTTAAATTTAAATAAATTGAATTAATGATAATTAGCATATGCTAGTGTCTAATAAGCTTAATTAGTATTATCGAATTTTTTTTGCATATGTTCTCTTGGCTATCGTTTCCTTCCATAATCAACCATACATGTGAAACTAAAGTTAAAGTGAGTATACATAACTAGTTATGGTGAAATACTTCTTATAATTTATGAATACAATATAGTACACATCGTACACCACCTCCGATCTTTGCATACCGCTATTTCTAATTTTGTTGTCTATTGTGTCACAGTCATTAATGAGTTTATCATTTCGTATTTGATAAATAATTAATATTAATTCAGAATAATACAACTTACATTAGCATTCGTAATGCTGATTTATTATTTCGACGAGGAAAATCATAGTAATAGTTGTATCAAATACCGTGATCTCATCTTCCTAAAGTTTTAATTGCATATTCTTACTTGCTTTAAAAAGGACAGATTAGTAGCCAAGTTTAATAAGTAGATATATGGCATAATTCTGCAAGTACAATTATAGTATACAGTCTACGACAGCAAAATAATTGTGACTCTGATACATCACTTTTATGCACTATGTAAATTTAAGACTAGTATGTCATTACCTAGAATAACGATCACTAGCTAGTATTGATATTTATAAACCTGAGCTCCAATACGGACGACATTATGACGTGAATTAAATTATTAAAATATATCTAATGTACATATTACAATAAACGCTTAAAGTAGAATGATACTGTCATAATTAACTCAAAGAGCAAACAATGATTTCACTTAATAACCAATAACAGCATCAGATTGCAGACTAATCCGATTTTGTAAGATACGGTATACTTTAGTTCCTGTATAGCTTGCAATATGATTTACTTAATGCTTAGCTAACCACTTAAATGCTGCGTACTAAGAAATAGCGCATGGACGGTATTTGAAAATACGAGATATCCACCTATCACAAAATTCATTATAGTCTAGAAGCCTGTCGTATATTTATCGCAATAGAATTCAGCTTATGAATGGTTTGTTTTATAAGGTTAATTGCAACTACGAGCCGCAAAAGGCCATTTTAGAGCGTACAATAACATAGGTGACAAGCGTGATATGGATTACTGCTAAAATATCAATCATGAATCCTGAGACTAGATATTTCGTTTCTTTTTGCACTTACTATTATTTCATATTATGTTTATAATCGTTCCATTGCATTTATTATGTTCTTCTAGGCTTTAATGCCTTTCTTTACCGTTATTATGGCGAAGCTAGTCCTTGGTGCTACATATACTGTAAAGGTGAGTAGAGAAGGCTACTACTTTCCATTTACAAGTCAATACCTGGCGCACGAAAGTGCTGGATGCTATGTATTGATCACTTAAATTTCGGCTTGCAGACATCAGTCACTCGACAAGTGTATGCTTGAAAAATATCCAACTTAAAAGATTTTTTAAAGAAAACGTTAAGAAAATGTTTTCTTCGACAATTTTAGCAGTATTGCTAAATAATCCTTATATGGATCTAATACTTCGATAATTTGTACATTTTATTTTTTGAAGCATTATATTATCAAAATTAATAAACTTTGCGTCTTCTAATAATGCCCAAGGGTATTAGAGAGATGGCATTAGTGTATAGATAGGAAGATAAGCACAGTAAAGCATGAAATTTGATATTCAAAATCATACTGCTACCATACTTAATAACGCATAAGTATAGAATACTAGTTCTAAATTGTAAGCAAATCATAACATCAATGACGATATAATATAGCAAAAGAGTCCTCTAGGGATGATTAAATCCTCGGGAGTAAAAGTTTGCGATATATATTTATATAGTACAAATATGTGTGCATGCTGGACTGCAGCAGTGTCTATCATATCGCAAGACGTCAGCACTATTAGTAACAAGCAAGCACAGTTCATACTGTATGAATATATTGTGCATAGAGACCAGTAAATACAAATACTGTAAACGTTCCTTTACTGTATTAAGTTTCGTCCATTATAGATATGAGAACAAAGTGTAACCAATTAAAGCTACTTCGTACAAGTTTAAGTAGACGTATTTTTTATAGTACTGCCTACTAGATATCGAATCACTACTCGAAACTATGCAGCAACACAGTCTTGTTATTTAAATTCTACTGCTACTGACTATATTATATTTACAGTTTTTGACTGAAATACTACAGCTGTGTCCAATAAGTAAATTATTACACGTATAATGTTAAGGATGCTATGTAATACATTGATATTTAGGATATACTATTAGGAAAAGGCTAATTTATTGCTTTGTTAGAAGAAAAATATCTAGATAGAGCTAATAAGAAATATCCAAACTGAAAGCATTCCCAATAACAATGTACAGGACGCTATCTTTTGTTTGAGGATATTAAATATAGATCCCTTCATACAGTAAATCACTAGTGCAGTATCATCAGTGGCTATAGATATCTCTGATTGATGTACTTTAATGGATGTATAATGATGAAAAGACATGAAATTTATGTAGTCTATAATGCCTAATCTTGTAGTGCATATTTAACATTTAGCAGCTATATTTTCATTAAGCATAAGCGAATTGTTGACATATCGATTCGAAATACCAACCATAGTCTTACTTATCACGGTTTGTTTGATTAATATTTTTATCGATCTAATCATTTTACTTATTGTAACCTTTTTTAGGAGTACTTATCTTTACTTCCTATCGTTGGTGGAGTTATGTTAGCTACCGCTACAGAAATAGAATTTGATATTATCGGCCTAATTAGCTGTGTACTATCAACGCTTTCTTTTGCCTTACAAAACGTTTATAGTAAAAAAGTAAGTGCAATGCTATGAAAAAAGTCACAGAATAAAAGTTTTAACAATGCGTAGATTCTATACTCGACTTAATCTCTTAATCATTATACCGACTTCACAGAATTGAAATTTTATCTTAATTCAGTAATGTCAAATACTTGATATGTACAAGTATAATATAGTATGGCTGATAAACATATCCACTCTCACTATGAAAATACTCATTAAGTTTTACAAAACTCTTCGATCTTAATTCTTAAAGATTAATTCAATATCTATATCTACTATCTAGGTCTTGTCCGATGTTAAGGTCCATCATTTAAGATTACTGCATACCATGTCAAGAAGTGCTACTAGCCTGATGCTCCCAATTTGGTTCGTTTTTGATGTTATGCCTATACTCGAAGAGAAAGATACGGTACGATATCCATATTGTATAAATGAAACGCTTTTATAGTAATTAGGCTGTACTAAAGTTACGAATGGCTATGAACGAAACAATCTATAACTAATGATCAGAAAATTGCTTTACTTTAGTATGCGGACCTAGATCCATACTGGATCACCTTTCTGGTATTTCTAAATGGTTTCATCAACTTTCTTCAAAATATAATAGCTTTCACAATATTATGGACGATCAATCCCTTAAGTTATTCAGTAGCAAGTGCGACTAAAAGGATTTTTGTGATAGTTATATCAATAGCCATTCTTCGGAATCCTATCACTTCAGCAAATGCAATCGGAATGACATTAGCTGCTGGTGGTGTTGTTATTTATAATCGAGTTAGTTCCGCAAATTTTATGAACTAGGATAGCTTTTTCATTTTTATCTTGATTTATTCATTCGTGTTCGAATTCGGTAATAATGTAACTCATAAATCATGATTGATTCTAACTTTGTTATTTGTTAGGTAAAGCATTCTTCGAAGACTGCAGGAAAAGGTAAAGGAAAAGGGAAAAATTTATTACCGATATCAATACCGAAAAAAAATGAACCTTAATCAGATTATTAACTTTATAGAACGAAATCTTGCATCCTAGAATAGTACTTGCTTGCTTGTATGATTGTATCGTACAGTATTTGCTTTTGATAACAAATGATGAAATCTGGAATTAGATAGAATCTTTTTATAGCAAAGAACGCATAGTCAATGTTACATTGCTATACAGCTATTTACTTATCCAAAATGATAATATTGACACTGACTCAGTGTTGTGTATAATCTGCGGAGCATAACTTTCCCTAAGAATTGATTAGGTGCAAGTTCTAGCACCGAAATTAGTTGAAGTGCCCCAGTATTTAAAAAGAAAATTTGCTTGTCTTACGTTGACTGCATGTAAACAGTTACCGATAACCGGTAATGAAAGTAATTGAATAACATGTGGAAAGTTTTGCCCTAAAGGTATGAAATCTAAAGGCATATCATAATAATAATGTACATAACTTTGACGGATTACATTTCTAATCAAAAATAATATGCATTTTTATCAACCGATAACTGATTGCATCGCTAAATAAGATCCATTTTACTATAAATCAACATTACTCTAAAAGCTATATATTCCATCAATTTTTTTAATTGTTGGTTGAAGGATTCTTATTTGTTGTCAATGAATTTAAGAAATAAAAACAGTCTGATTTACATTGGCATTAGAAAGCATAATTAGGAAATGAAACATCTTATTTGCTTGCCAATATACAATCTGTGATTCTATTTTGGAGAATTTTCCAAGGTGTGATTGCACGAAAGTATTAAGATAGTGTATATATGATTTCAAAACAATAATATTAAGGGCTCAACGACTCTCTTGATAGAAAACTATAGCTTAATTTTCATTTATAACATGAGCAGGCAATTACTACGATTATTTCATACTTCAAAACCATGCTAATTTCATGATAAAATTATTATGCGAAAAATTCACAAGTTATTAGTAACCTATTTAATTTCCATTTCATTTTGTTACATGCTAAAAATTTTATCATATAGAATTGCAATATAAATCTTATTAATGATTGTCCTATAAACTATTAAAATGATGACATGTAGAGACTTTTAACGTCTGGGGCCCAATTCACACAATAGCCAATCAACAAACTGATTCACAAGTGTAATTAATCGATGATATACTGCCTATTTGTGTATCATTTTGATAGATTTATAATTTTACCTGTTATAGTCGATCGAACATTGTTGCATGATTGTTGAGTATCTTAACTATCTATGGCTTAGCTTGATACGTGAAACATGACAAATAGCATAGAATTATTGATACCTGAAAATCATCGAGCTGAACTGACTTGTGCAAAGTAGTCAATATTATTGTTTAAGAGAGACATTTTTCATATTCTTAATTATGTAATTTTTTCCAGCAGAATTGAATTCTAGATTCTAGTTTTAGTAGAGTACTAAGAATTGATTAGAGATGAGTCCGGAAATATTGTATACGTCTCAATTAAGCATGACAATGAATACTATGAAAAGGGTAAATAGGGCAAAAAGATTCGATGAAGTTTATTTACAACGTTCAACAAGGCTTTAGCTCATAGCTTTTCTACTAGCAACCCTTGAATATACGTAAACAATTGCTAGGTACAAATTATAATGCAAAGGTGCAAAAGTTAACCGTCCAACCCAGTACATATCAAGATGTTAAATTATGATGAAAACAATAATGTGTTAAAAAGAAATAACATGCTTATAATCATAATAATCGGCTCATCTGGTCTTCTGTGATAAGAAAGGTATAAAAACCTTACATAGAAGGAGTTAACTGACAAGTTGAGAGAAATATTAATATTCTCATTTCTTCATTTGTAGATTGATTCCTATCAAAAATAGTAGTTAAGAAGATTGCCAGAAAAGTAGAGTTGTTGCAGCATTTCAATAGTCCTTATGATTATTGTTCCTATTTCTAAGTAGTCACTCTCCGTTCTATCTATACATAGTCCAATTTTATGATTCTTCTATATTCAATCCAATTTTCAGTCTTTGCGGTTTTCAAAATTTGATATTATGGCTGACTCAACTGTTACAGCGACTATACAATCGGAATCACCTGTGGAGCATGATGAACTATCCAAGAGCGAATTAATTAACATGGACAAGGATCAAACTGTTAGCGTTAAAAGTAAAGGTACTAATCAATTGAGTCAAAAGGTGAAGACAAGGCGATTATCTCGACGTGGCAAACCGCCATACTCGTATATCGCGCTGATTGCGATGGCGATTGTAAACTCTCCAAACAAGAAATTGACCTTATGTGATATTTATCAATTCATAGCCAAGCACTTTCCTTATTACAGCCTATCATGTAAAAGTTGGCAAAATTCAATCAGGTTTGTTCACCATGATTTAGTCTGATAGTGTTGGAATTGACAAAATTTTTTCGTTTATACTTTTATATTTCAAATTACCGCGCCAATAACGGCGATCTCAGGGGCAAATATGGAATAACATTGATAATAGGTAAATTAGTTGGCGCCCAATATCAATGTTAATTTTCTATACAAGGCATTGATCACCATACGTCTGGGGATAATTCTGGATACTGGCAGAAAATGCCACGATTTAATATCATCTGTTTAAAAATAGTACTATTTTGGGCCATTTTTTAGAATGGTAACAAAATTTTGCAACCAATATAAAATTTTCAGTTAGTATGATCCATTTCGCCAAATATGATAGTTCTAATTGTTTCAGTGTACCAGTAGAAATGGAAATTCCAAAATATAGACAGAAATTCAGAATAGATATTTCGAGGCATTTATCAACTAAAGATGAAATGAGATAGTTAGATTAAATTACTTCATGTTCCATCTCGCAATAAATGCTTTACTATTGAACGGGAATATCTAAATAGCAAAAGTTCATTTTTTGCTCTATGGCACTATAATGCTAGTTGAGTTATAATATTCTAGCTTATACTAAATTCCTTGGCGGATATTTGCGATTTTTGCGATCTTAAATCCAATTTCATTAAACACATCTTTCCAACCTTAATTACTCTTCAAAACTATAATGTTTTTCAATCTTAAATTCAGTCTTATAGAGAATATCTTCTCAACTTGTAATACTCTGTGATATTAAATTTAATATTAATAAGGATATATTTTGAAATTATAACATTTTACAATCTTAAATTCAATCCTATCAAGAATATCTTTTCAACTTGCTCTTTTATAGGCATAATTTAACTCTAAATGATTGCTTTATCAAATTGCCACGTGAGACGAACCAGCCCGGCAAAGGCCATTACTGGGCTTTGGATCCATCTAGCGAAGGCATGTTCGATAGCGGAAGTTTCCTCAGGCGTCGAAAACGATTTAAAAAGGGCGACATTACCATGCTTTCAACGTTAGAGCCTATTAATCCTTCGGCAATATCATCATCTTTACCGTCATCGTCTAGCTCAAGTTATTATCCGATCCAAACTCTTCCACACTCAATGAATGCTAATCCATGCCAAGGCATATCATCCAATATTCAAGGAGAAAATCATTCTAGTAGTATCAGGCCTCAAAAGACTACAACTTTGTCAACTTGTGCTCCAATAACATCGAATAATTTTATGGCTATCAACACTCATCCTCATTATAGTCGGAATATATCGTGTTCAAGCATTTTGGGTTGGTCGAGCGAATACTACAGAAATTACCTTCATCAAAATCATGCTATGAAATCTTCTTGCCATTTATCATTCCCTTTTCTACGCAGTTATCCATTTCAATTTTATTTACCTTCCTTGCCAGCTGCCATGCCAACTGTAAGCCATAGCAAATTATTAAGTAATGGTAAAACCAATTATCAATCGTCGTCATGCCCAACAGAAAGTAATGATGTTCATAAATCGAAAAAGGGCAAAGACTTTACTATTCAGCATTTATTGTCAGCTTAAATTTAAGCTGATAATAAATGCTGAATATATATATTATATGTTATAAGCCTATAATGTCACTAAATATCTTTAGCATTCAAATCGAATTTCGATGTATTTTATGGATAGGATATAATTTGTTCTAAATTATTTTGTAATTAAAGATCAAATATAATTAAATTTGATTTAAATATTTTATGGATAACATGTATTTCATTTTCTGACTTTATACTCATGGAAGGCTGTATTAGTAATATCGATAGAATTAGAATGCCAATTGAATGTGTACAGCTTATAGTCAAAATAAAATAAATAGAGTCCGGAAAAGACTCATTTCTCGTCAATAATTATATTTTGAGTAAGATTAATCGATGTGTCTTCTCTATTTTCTAGATTAAAATCTATTAATAAATAGAATAGATATTAACTCTTATACAATATTAACATGATATTATCAGTAAAGATAGATGCCGGTATTATTTCAATAATCCAAAGTCAAAGTAGAATTAAAATGATTTAAATAAAGGTTAGAATTGCATGAAATTGAAAAAAATGAATAGATATTACATCCTCCATGATAATCCAATTATTGCCTGCATCAGGCACCAATTTCTTATAATTTTAAACTTTTAAACAACTTACTAATACTTTTATAAATTTTTTACTAAATTTATTGATTACTTTAGTGATATCGAGTGTAAATTGCGGATGATTATTTAAGATATGTACATCATTTCGGGCCGATATTTCTCTTCTCGACGTTATTATTTGTATGATATATCCTCTTCTAAGGATTCCTTACTCTTAATCATGTTCCATCACGATAGGAAATTTATTAAAGGCTCCAATGGTATCGCATGCTTATTGTGACAATTATTTAAGAGACTAGCATCATTGCTGGCCAATATTCTCCTTTCTAAATTTATTATTCGTATAAAATACCTTCTAAAGATTCTTCTGCTTTTCGTCAGCTTCCATCATGGTTAGAAATTTTATTTTAAATCATTTACTAAATTTATCGATGGCTCCATTGGTACCCTATGCAAATTGTGAACAATCATTTAAGAGTCTGTAGCTCTCGGCACAGTCCAGTCCCAGCCCTAAATTAAGAGATCTGCTTCATTTCTGGTCAATATTCTCCTCTTTTACGTTCTTATTTCTAGGTGATATCCTCTTCTAAGGATTGCACTACTCTTCATCAGCTTCTATCACGGTAGGAAATCTTATTTTAGATTGATCTTTTATAATTTTAAATTGTTTACTAAATTTATTGATCGCTCCAATGGTATCATATGTAAATTGTGGACGATTATTTAAGAGATCGGCATCATTTTCGTCACAATTCTCATCGTCTATAGTATTCTCTTCTTCAGCATTATGGTTATCGATATTAGTATCATCCTCGACTTGGTTTAGATGGTCAGCAGTAGAAAGAGTAGGAGAAGATGAGGGAGGAGAAAAATGTTTCGATTCGTTGGAAGGTGTATCGTCCTGTGCTAAGGGAGTATGAATATCATCATGTTGTTCTTTAGATACTTGGTCTTTTTCAGCATTTTTTCTATCTTGTGCGGTCTTATTTTTAGTCTCTTTATAGAGTGAAACTAACTTTGTTGCTGCCAAGATGCGTTGATGTGAACTCTCCATTGGTGTTGGCAATTTATTGGAAGGAAAGAAATTCTCCTGATCGTTTTCTTGATCATTAGAATCGCCACCTTTACGCTGCGATAATTGAAATTTAACCATGAATTTTGATCGAATTCTTGCTTTGTCGTCTTCACTTTTTTCCTGATCATAACGAATATCAGAATAAGATCGAAATCGTGACAATCGAACATCATCACGATTTTCACTCTTACGATCATGATCACTTTCATCGTGGCTATTGCCGGTAATTTTATTACTTATTTCCGATCTGGTTATTGCCAAGGCTTTCTTGGCTAATTTACTAAATGAGCTGGTGCTACTATTGGAAGCTGTACTATCACGCCTTGATCGAGTTAATCCAACTAGACGACTTAAACTCATCCTACGCTTTGCAATCGATGATATACTGTGGCCAAGTTCACTTGTTTCACTATTTTCACGATCAATGGTACTGGCTGGCGATAAACTACGACCAGAACATTTATCATCATTAACGGATTTAACCCCAGCCTTATACGACGGTGCATATTGAGCTTGATAAATTAGCATCAATTTGTTTAGTGGTGTTAAGACTGCTTGATTTTGCCCATCATCGTTACTTAATGTCGAATATTGACGTAATGGTAAAATTTCCACAGATGCATTACGTTTACTCATTAATGGTTGAGTTAATGGGCGCCGATATGGACCCGCAGAGACAGCTCGAGGTTGTTTTTTGCTTGTAATGATTTCATTTGGACGGCTTTTGGTTACAGATCGAGATTGTTGATAATTAGTCACGGCCGATCTTGGCCGACGACGTGGAGTGGATACCACTGGAGTAGATATACTTTGCGATCGCGAGCTAGATAATGAACTAGTTAATGATGAATTATTACTGGAAGCAGCAATAAGTTGAAATAAGGGCGATTTAGATGCTAAATCACGACTAGTACGAGTGGTTTCCCATTCTTTAGCGGTCCGATGATATTTATTATCGCGAATACCAACAGAAGCGCGACCAATAGAAATTAATATTCTAGTACATAAAATATTGCCATGTTGTGCAGCTGCAATTAAAGCAGTAATACCATCACGATTGGCTTTATCCGTAGTTAATTTGTACTTTTTCATCTCGGCTAGCAATTTATTTAATATAATAATATTTCCTGTAATAGCGGTATAAATTAAGGCAGTATTTCCATCATGATCGCTATGATTTAAATCAAAATCTCTCTCACTTAGAAAGAGTAAAGCTAAACGTTCGCGATCTTCCTTACAGGCATGCATTAATGCATTTAAACCTTGCTTGTCTGTGATACCAACTTTAGCGCCGTGATTTAACAAATATTTAGCCACACCAATCGCTTTACGCTCATTATCAATGTAAATAGTCTGTATTAATGGTGTATATCCGCGATGATCTCTTGAATTAACATCATAGAATAGTTCAGTTAATAAGCGAACTTGTTGCCATCTCCTTTCGGCAACAGCTTTAGTAATAGCCATCTCGATGATCTTTTAAATGCAATAGATTAATAGAGAACTGTTTTTTTACGCTCAGGTAAAATGGATTGTATCCGCTATATTGGTAATGAATGGAAGTAAAGATTAATTTTGAGTAGGTAGCTACACCTTCGTTCTGGTCTTTCAATAGAATTGAATATAATATATCGAATAGGTTGAGTATTGATCTCCTTTAGGATGCATAATAAGAATTTGCTGGATCGTCGGTTATCACCATTAGTGTGTTAAAATTTCCAGCCGGTATTAATTAATATTAATAAGTAAACTCTTGTGAATGAAATTGGACTACCCAAATTATTAGAACGAAAGCAATCCAGACTTGATTAATTAGGAGCCCGAAATTGCAAGCAACTTCGATTTCCAAATCTGACAATCTTCTTGATGAACATATAATTATAATCGAACGAAAGTAACAACCAGAAATAACAGATTGTCGGAGAAATACGGTCGAAAATTTGGGCAGATCTTTCAATCGATAGCTCGAAACTTAAATTTCAAATAATTGTATTCATACTAAGACCATACGCCAGGAATAGTATGGTAGAACTGTAGATTATCATCTTCATTGGTATAAGATTAGCTATATTATTCTTTAGGAGTTTCCGATGGGTGGGGGAGGAAATTGAAATAATATCCGGAGATTTCTTACGCGATTTTTTTCTTGCTTTTCAGCTAATGATCTCTAAACTTGATTCTTTAAATTGTCTATGTTATTGATATATGTTATATATGTTTATATATATATATAATCAATAACGGTAGTAACGGGGGAGGATAAGCTGGAGATGGAGCTTTTATCTCTAGACTAATCAAGCGTAGTTGTAAATATGTCAATAATCAATCCTGTAAGAAAGTAGTGGGTTTCAACTTGTCAGTAAGAGTAATCTTTCAAATACAATTTTAAGCATCTACTGTTAAAAGAATCATTGAGTGTGAAATAAACTCTAATGCTGTAAAATTGAATGATAACAATTATACTAGACAGGAGTTCAAGTTGAATAAGAAAAAGTGCAATCTTAATCTTCACAGTATTGTTTATCAAGCTCTGTTATGATTGGTATTTGTTTACTGCTCTTCCGTTCAAATCAGATAATTGATAGTTACAAATCTGTTCTATTAGTACCGGATGAATCTAGTTGATTATCTTTTTATTAGGCGATCTCTTGTCAAGCATAGCATAGCGAAATTTACCGTGTGGTTCTATTTTAATTCACTAGAACGGATAACAACAAAAATAATACCGGTAATTTATTTATCTTGCTAGATAGGGGCTTATTCCCTATCGATAAATTATTAAATTTAATCAGGAGATATAATATAGAATTAATTCTACATAGTACAAGTATTTAAAGACTACTTTTTAAGGTAAAATAATTTACTTCTTGTCAGATAATAGTTTATTCCCCGTCGATAAATTAATAATTGAATCAGGAGGCATAATATCGAATTAACTCTGTGTTGTAAAGTATTTAAAAATTACTACTTAAGGAGTAATAATTTACTTCTTGCTAGTTAAGAGCGAATTCTCAATCGATAATTAATCTCATCAGAAGATATAATATAGAATTGGTTCTATGTAACAATACTATTTAAAGACTACTACTTCAGGTATCATAATTTACTTCTTACTATATATGAGCGGATTCCTTAGCGATAAATTAATAAACTTATCGGTAGATATAATAAGGCATTAGTTCTACCCAATACGGACAATGAAAGACTACGACTTGAAAGAGAATAACTTATTTCTTGCTAGATATGAATCGGGTTCCCGATCGATAAAATGATAAATAGATATGATATGATATTAAAGGATTAGATTCATTTCTTACTAGGTTCAAGTTGGCTCTCAATAAATAAACTAACAAACTAGCAAATACATGCCATTGAAAATTAGTTCTCCCTAAATTGAGTAGCTAAAGACTACTACAATCCAGTACATGCCACGAAGACAATTTTTATTACGTTATTCGCAAATAAAGCTGTTAAAATAATAAGCGAAATGTAACGGTAAATAGCCATCGACTAGTTTAAAAAATTATTGATAGATGACTCGGTGAAATTGAAATGTTAAATTATACTCATTTGTACTTGATTAAATCGCCATGGCAGACTAAAAGCGACAATTTGGTACCAGTACTTGTACTTAATGTGCATAGTAAGAATTTACCGGATCATCGGTTATCACTATTGGTGTGTTAAAATTTTCAGACGGTATTTATATTAGGAAGTAAACTCTTTTAAATGAGATTGGAATACTTAGATTATTAGACGAAAGCAATTGAGGCTTGCTTGAACCCGAAATTGCGAGTAACTTTGATTTTCAAGCCTGGCAATTAAATTAATAGTTATGTACAATCGCGACTACGATATCGTGATAACTATCGAGATCATCTTGAAAGTTTACTTGTAACTATTCAAGCCTATTATGATAAGAAGATGCTTTCCTTTAATATGGCAAACTATTCTTTTATTAGCTATTGACTCTAGACATTTTATGGTAAAATAAAGAACTCAACAAGGGTGAAAAATCGAAAGCTATTTGAGTCTACGTTGATTGTATAGCTGCTACGAGATTATTCTTTAACACGTCATAATCTATTTTAGTCGAATTCCGACAACATATTATAAGAAAGCAAGAAAGGCTAACGTAAAATGGATTGTTATTCTGGCCGGATAACAGTATATGCAAACATTGGAGATCATTTGATGAACAAAGTCTATTTATAGGATAGAGTTGAAATATTCTACAAATCATTGGACACTGACAGCAATCGTCGGTTTATTATACTGTGAAATCATAGAAAACACCAGATCTTCTTTCTCATGAACTGATTTGATGCAAGTATTTCAACCAATGATTTACTAATGCTCTTAAAATAAATTATGGAACGGTAGATATAGGTTGCTAACTATTCCTGGACAGAGAATGAATGATGCTAATAAAAGGATTAATGAACTTTACTCGATCATTTCGCTCTTCCAACTCATAAAATTGTAGCCGGATGCTGATGTAAAAGAATGAAAATATTTCTATTCGGTTAATTATAACCTTACATTTGTTGTACTATAACATTATGGAAGTAAAATTAATCCTTCGATTCTAAAAGTGCTATCGTGTAGAGATACAGCAGGATAAACTATCGATATCTGATTGTCTATACGTTTATTTTGCTATTTAGAGATTGCTAACGACGATTGACGAGTTACATTTGAATTTATAATACGGATTAAATAAAAAGTAGCAAAGGCGATATGTTTATACTCAAATGATCAACGTAAGAATAGTGTTGATAGTTTATTTAAAGTAATCGTATAGAGGTGTAAAACCTTCAAAAGTGTAAATCAATATCGTGCGCCATACCTATTGATGGGAAATTTTCTTCAACTTGCGATGGAATGGCGAAGGTGTAATCTGAATTTATTAGTAGATGAATATTTTCCAGAGTGAAAATTAAATTACTTAATTCTTTCCTTCAAGAGGTTCAAAATATTCACAGATTGATCTAGTCAATATCCCAGTCTCTAGAGGAATCGGATCAAAATGTTAAATATCAGTGTCGGTGTAGGTAGTCTTAAACGTAGCATTCAAAAAGTATCCACACCAGCCAAAAAAGATTAGTAAAACTATTGCTCAATTGACGAAGGTAGACAAAGTCCAATTTTGAAATAAAATGACGTTTTGTCTAGTTTAGAAATGCTTTGACTAGCATAATCAGGAGTCAATTTCAGATGACGGTCGTTTAGTAAGGCGCTCTGTTACTAATAGCATTGATAAATTCTTTTAAAATAGCTAAATGTAAATTAACCGCTACTACTCTATCCATTACGGAAGCTAAAATCCATTTTTGAAATAAGATACTCGGTAGTTGATGTTATTTAGATATAGCGTCACATAACATCGGTAGGAATTAATTTTGTTCACGGATGATGATTATTTCATAATTTATTCTCCTATCTATAACATTTATAACTTCTTTCAATCAGTCAAAGGTAGGTTAAAGTTATTACTCTACTAATAATGGTAGGCAGAATCGAATTTCGAAGAATGATATTTGATCTAACTTAGAAAATTATATACTAACATGGAAAGAAAAACACTAGTTTTTTAATCAGCAATGATGACTCTGTAAGGTTTTCGCTTATTTAATTGACTACAAAACCCTCATAAGTAGAGAGCAAGTAAAAGTTGTTACTGTATTCATAACAGTATATAAACTAATCTTGAAAATATCACAAGTTAATAAGAGCAAGAAATTAATATTATTACGATGATCATTTTATAAACTAAAAGCTGACAGTTAAATCGTAACATTTATATTCTTTTAAGATCATCGAACGGTAAGTTGGCTATCAAACATGGTATAAACTAATCTTAGAAGAGAATAAGCTTATATCTGAGCAAGAATTGGTTTCATTAATGTAGTAGTTATGATCATGTTATAAGTTTATGACTTCAACATAATATTCAAGGGCTACCATACTAGAGACTTGGGATTATTTAGCAGTAAGTTAAAGCTATTACACTACGAAGACAGTCAACTAATCTTGGAAAAAAATAAGCTAATATAGGAGCAAGAATTCACTTCGCTAACGTAGCAGTTATGATCATATTATAAGTTTATGACTTCAATAAAACATGCAAGAGCTACTTGATACTTGAGATTATCTATAGTAAAACATCTTATGCTACGGTAATATGAGCAGAAATCAACTTCGTTATACCAATGATATTCATTTTATAAACTTCCAACTTCACTATACTATCCCAAAGTCATGAAGACGAGGTAAAGGTGATAAAAGCTATTCATAGATTGATAATATCAGGCAAACGCAATTTTACATCCCCAATTTTTGATCACATTTAGAAAATCATACGTAATTATAAACAAAAATCAATTTTCTTTCACGTTTTATGAAAATGAACAGTAAATACTCACCATTTACTATCTATCCAGTACATCTTCCCTGTCGATCATTTAAGAAAAACTTACCTTTCCTTTAAGTTCTAATGTTTACAGCAGCAATGAAGTGATCATTCGATCAAAAACAGTTGTTTAATGCCAGAGCTCAATGCTGTTCAGAAGGCGATAAACTAGAGATTATTAATTGCAGTTAGGGCACAAAACTAGCATAACCATCGTCAACGGATTGGCTTCGCTATCCATCCTAACTATAATAAATGTAAAATGAAAGTCTTTTTTTTTGTTATTAATAATGAATTAATTTATATTGAATTGTATGCTCTAACTCTTTTGTTGCTGTAGGCTAGTTTGCTGCTAACATTCCATCCCACCCGAGGAATTGATTGTTTATAACAGATGTGGCCATGAACATTTTTACAATGTTAATTAGCATTTTCAGTTTCTATGACAACCAAAGAATTAATGTATCGTCATTGCTGCAATACTACGATTGATAGGCTAATTTATAGACCAATACCTAACTTAGTCAATTGATATTTTCTCACGTTGATAGCTACATTTCCCATGCAGAGAGTACAACATCGCCATAGCCTTATAAATTATTTATTGTCCCGACTTATTACTTTAGTCGGGAAGAACTTTTTGTTTTTACATGAATTGTTAATTAAATGCTTGTATACTGCATAGATAGTAATTAAAAATGATGTATACATATCTACAAATCAAGGTCTATGGAATTGATCTGCTTAATTAAAGGTGTATTAAATAATTAGTGGTAACGTACTTTAGTCACAGAAGCTATTTTCTAACAGGACTTGTTTTCAGATACTGGTATAGACTACTTGTGCATGTCGTACATTTATTATTTGGTAAAGAAGCATAGGAAAAATAATGATAAATAATTTATGGGATCATAATCAAGTGGTGCTTTTCAACACCATCAACAACGTAGATAACTTAACATAGATTGTTGATATACTACAATATATTATATTTTAGATTAGAAAAAGGTCTTCTTGTAGCATCGATTGTTTGAGCATAGATATGAATGGATGTAATGTACTGAATAGTTGTAAAATGAAAGTGGTATATGCATCTGTACTTCCCTACAATCTTTAGTAAGCCAGCATTAGTATCGTATATTCTTGGATCTTAGTATAGCAAACTTGAGAGTATTGATATACTACTACATATTATATTTTAGATTAGAAAAAGGTCTTCTTGTAACATCGATTGTTTGAGTATAGATATGAATGGATGTAATATACTGAATAGTTGTAAAATGAAAGCGGTATGTGCATCTGTACTTCCCTACAATCTTTAGTAAGCCAGCATTGGTATCGTATACTGTATTCTTGAATCTTAGTATAGCAAACTTAAAGAGTTTATGATTATGAATTACCAAGCAATTAGTAATAATCACTTCTTCGGATCTATTAAAGACTCAATCGCTTACAACCTATGAAATGTTTCAATTTAATTAGAATATTAAGTTAATTACAGGTAAATGATTAACAATGGTCTTTTTACTTTATTGCTACAACTGTAATAGTCAATTATATTTATCGATACTGCATCGTCTGTTCCACATTTTTAACCTGTAAAGACCCGCAGATATTTATGTATAACATATCCTCAGTATTAAGTTATTCATACGGGCTTAATGCAACCTTAGATCTACTCATACCTAAAAGTGAGCATCATAAATGATCTAAACTGCTAAAGTGTATCGTCCATATTTTCTATAAACTTGTTAATAGTCCTTTATTTTAATTTGATTTCTTTATATTTTTAGAGAATTTAGTAATTGAATAGATTTGTTACAGCTATAGTGTAGGAAAATCGCACCAGCTTGTTGCGATAAGTTTTAACTTTAATTCATGAGTGAGAAGTATCTTTTAACGTCATAAGCGTTGGGATCACAGCATTAGTTCCGAATTATATTGAGTAAACACTTGTACGTCGTATGCCTTAACTTACAATAGTATTTGCCATCTATCAATCTCTTATCTAAATGTGTTCATAGATAAGTATAACGAAAACATAATATGTTTAGATTAAAATAATGTAAAGAAACTCATGCCTGTAAAAGATTCGTACAAGTTGCAACAAAAGCATTGATTACAGATATCACTGAACTGACATTTTATTAGTATAGTTTGCATTAATCTTGCATAGTCATTTATATTCAAAATATACCATTATCAGTAGTATAAAGAAAATTGGATCGGACCATTTAAATTTCATGGCTCATTAAAAACTGAGCCAGCCTATATCGTTAATTATATTCAAAGAAACGAATTTTCAAATGGAGGCAAAGAATGGGTTTAAATATTCAAGTTTTGAGCAGGATTTTTTACTTTTAAGCAAATTGGTATAAATACAGATCTACCGAAAAAGTCTATATTCCGTGCGCAAGGGAATTTAGTATATCCAGTTAAATTAGAAATCAAATTGGTTGGCTAATATTGTACTAACATAATTATCAAAACGTCATAAACAAAAGATTCGATACATAACACCATTTAAAATTTTAAGCAAATAAATACATGAGATTGTTTGAAGTATGTTCAGTATTTAAATCGCTATCTGCGGACTTATTTGCTCAATTTTTATGAAATTTTGATTGTAAATCATCAGATACGATTCACTCAAAATATCGCGCATTATCAATATTTATTAACTTAAGCAGTCATTTTCGCTTTATCTGCGATAACTTCAGGCGCTTTAGATTCATATGAATCCATTGGAGGGCATGTACATACTAAGTTGCGATCACCATATTCATCATTTACTCGAGCGCACGAGGGCCAGAACTTTTTATACCGCAACCACGGCTAATAGAGTCAGATATAATGAATAAAGATTCAGTTTAACTTATGTCGCTTATGAAAGCTTTTCACATTGATTGCAAACAAGAGATTTTTTAAATCACTAAACCTGAGTAGCTTTTACATAATTTTACAAAAAAGATTTCTGCTAATGTAGCAATATAATTTAAACACCCATAAACTTACAGCTGGATAAACTGCCTGCTCCCTTGAGTATGGCCGATTCCAGTTACTGGATGATACAATTTGCTGCGTATGTGGTGCCATCTGTTATTCGTGTAAAACACTTTAGTATGATACAGAATGTTGCAAAGTAAATCAATCAATCGACCAGCAAGAATGTAAGTACTGACCTTCAATGGATTTACAACTGGATCCATTTTTCCCTCCTCAATGTTCATTATTTCTTGTCGAATTTCTGAGCATACGCACAATTCATTGACGACGTAAATAAATAGCATTTTAAGTATTTTAATAAGAATGCAAAGCTACTAACGACTTACGAATGAGGGCATCGCAATATCGATCCATTTCCATTTTACTTTCACATTCGGTAGGTTCGATCATTAAAGCGCCTACTACAGGCCATGACATTGTAGGAGCATGAAAACCTAATTACGTAAAATTGACGATATTGATGATAATTTCTGTTAGCAAGCATAGTCAATTCCGCTAATCATTACTCAAATAGTCAATACAATTTTATACCATAATCTTGTAGTCGTTTAGCGATATCTATAGCTTCGATTTTTACACTTTTGAATGGTGTTACATCAAGTATGAATTCATGTGCTACGTAACCTTTAAATAAGATCAATATCAAATATTTATATTGTATAGCGATGCAATACTGTAGTAAGAGAATATAAGGTCAGTCGGTTATTTACCATTTTCGCCTGTAAACTGCAAGTTGTAGTATTTACTTAATCTTTTCGCCATATAATTAGCGTTTAGGATAGCAATCTATGTTGTACACGACAAGAATGCGATAAGTTATAATTTATTATGTCAAACATAGCACATTATAGTACTGTACCTCCGATGCATGCTTTAATCCTTTACGACCCATTAATTTAATATAAGCCCACGATATAGGTAAGATCGCAGAAGATCCCCATGCTGATGATGAGATCACTCCAAAAGGGTGTAACTCTCCTTCAGTAGCGGGAGGAGTAATTGGATGGGTTGGTAAAAACGGTGTAAGATGTCGTTTCCTGAAGATCAAATTCAAGATTACAACTAATGCTAATACCTATCGTTCAACTTAAAAAAAAAGAATTTTACATACACTCCAATTGGACCCATTCCTGGACCACCACCGCCATGAGGAATGCAAAATGTCTTATGTAAGTTAAGATGGGAAACATCAGCTCCAAAGTCTCCCGGGCGGCATATACCAACTTGTGCGTTCATATTTGCACCATCCATGTATACCTGGCCCCCAAAGTCATGAATTAAGTCACACATTTCACTAAAGTTTAAACCAATAGAAAAAATAATTTAAGAGGCAGAAAAAGTATGCATTATCATTTAAAGCTAAAAATTACCGAATATTCTCCTCGAAGATACCATACGTAGAAGGATATGTTACCATAAACGAAATTAGTGTATCTTTAAATTTTTCAGCCTAATTACGGAATACAGTACAAGATAGATGAAGATAAGTAATAAATGATTCATTTAATACGACAGCTTATCAAAACACCAATTATGATGAGAAAAAATTAATTGATTGAACCTTCTTTTTCAAGTCAAGCATATCAATATATCCTGTCTTCTGATCAACAGCAACTTCCTCAACTTTCAATCCAGCCATAGTTGCACTAGCTGGATTAGTACCATGGGCAGATTTAGGTATTAGGCAGACCTAAAATATAGCAAAAGGCATCCGTGAACAAATAATTTCATAACATGAGTACGTACATGTTAATTTTATTAATGACGTCTTACATTTCGATGGCCTTGCCCATGGTATTCATAGTATTGCTTGATTGTTCGTAGACCAGTATATTCCCCTTGAGCGCCACTATATATTGAAGTAATTAACAAAGACTTTTAAGCTAAAGATTTAAATTTTCTTATTAAAGTATTTGTATGATTAAAAGTATCAAAGCTATACCTATTAGGTTGGAAGCAAACGTTGTCGAATCCAGTTATTTCACATAAATCTGTTTCTAATTCTTTAAAGAGTGTACGGTAGCCTTGTGCTTGTTCCGATGGTATAAAAGGATGAAGTTCAGAAAATTCAGGCATAGATGAGGGCTAGATTAGAGATAGCGATTTGTGAATTCAGGTTAGTTTGAATATTCCTAGCTTAAAAAAGAATGCTAACCTCTAATTCGGTTGATCCATTAAGTTTCATTGTGCAGGAACCCTACAAGATTATTTAAAATTGAATTAAAACCAAGCTATCTGAGTATGTATCACTATGTTTCCAGCGTACCAGGGGAATCATAGAATGAACTAAAGATAAATCCTTATTCTCAAGATGTTTCATGTATCTAACAATGTCGGTTTCAGTGTGATAAGTGTTAAAAACAGGATGTTGTAAATATGGGCTAGCTCTTTCAAACCGACCGCCAACAACATCACTGATAACTTTTCTGCCTTCAGCTTCAATCTTACGGCTTAGTGTTTCCTGTCAATCCGATATATATGTATTAGAACAGCAGTAAAAGGATATTTACTTTCTTTGCAAAATATAAGATATAATCTTGCGATAACCTAAAGCGAAAATATCTACCATAAATCTGTAATACATACAACGTTGTAATATAGGCCAAAGACCCAAAGTAAATCATTTAAATCATTTTCGTCCACAGTTTCGTCTAAAGTCACGCTAACCTAAAAACCAAATTATGTCATACTATGTACATAAGTTGAATCTGGAGAAAGGGAGACTGTGAATAAGAAATAAAAATGTACGTATTTCAGCATAAGTACCGTTGTCTCATCGAACTTTCGAAAATTTAATTTACATTTGGTTGCCCTTTTCATAATTTCAGTTGAGTTCCTCTCGGATAGCGTTATCTGATTTTTAATTTAATTTTTTAAGAGAACTTTAACACAGAAACTGGTACATTAATGAAATCGATCATATACCGTACATTAGAAACTTTTTGTGTGTGATATATGTATACGCGTATATGCATATTACAAATTACCTTTACAGTATCAAAGAATGGTTCTACTGGAATTTGATGACCAGCCCGAAGTAGTCCTAACAGTCAAAAGTAATTTGATTTGTTCTAACCTTAGTGATATAATTCATTTGATCGAATGCAAACTTAATATTCTATTTTATATTTGAATACAATACAGTAAGAATATATCCAAGTAACAAATGGTGTTAATAATTGAAACAGTCTATAAAACGAATTGTGAAAATTGCTAATAAGCGTATAAAATAACGGTTCTGTACTTAGTGAGATAGCAAATACAATTGATAAATGCGGCTTAAGTTAAAACTGCTAAAATCTAACCTTCGGCTAACAATAACGCGGCATTGTGTACTCTTGTAGCTATTTCTTTTAATCCTTTCGGCCCATGATACACTGCATACATAGCTGACATATTAGCCAATAATGCCTGCAGTAAGTTTATATGCCATTAGAGATGCGAAAATAACAGATTAAACCATCACTTTGCTAGTAACTCCTACGCAACTCGATGACTGCCTCTCAATACCAGGGATATTTATAATTAGAAGATTTACAATATTTATTTATTGGTAAAATGTAGAGATCATTGATGAATTTTAGTTACTAAAGTGATTATCACTATGTTATATACCTGAGCCGTACAAATATTACTAGTTGCTTTCGCTCTTCTAATATGTTGTTCGCGAGTTTGTAATGCCAATCGAAAGGCTGGATTGTTTTCAGTGTCTCTGTTAATATGACGCAAGGAGTCTTTAATACTTTTAAAATGAAAGTGACAGTCATTTAATCTAAGCGTAAAAATATTATTTTTCTTACTTAGAAACTCCAATCACTCTTCCTGGAATTAACCTAGCCATATCTGCTCGAGTAGCGAAAAAAGCCGCATGAGGGCCTCCGTAACCTACGTTTACATCACAGAAATTTAACACTTTTATGAAAATTTACAAGAGCTTTTTAAAACAATATGCTATTTAAGCAGGCTTTTTAATATAATTTTCATATTTTCTATTAGATAGCTTGTGTAAAAATAGTATCATTATTATAAGAGCTAACTATAAGATTAAAGCTAATAGTTAAACATATTGCAAAGCAAATAATATTACCGAGAGGAACACCAAATCGCTGACTGTTACCAATGCAGATGTCAGCTCCAAATTCTCCGGGTGGTTTCAAGAGTGTTAAAGCAAGAAGATCTGTTGCACAAACAGCTAATGCCTGCCGTTCATCATATAAGAATTGTATAAGCTGGTGGATTTTGAAAGTTTGTCCACTAGGTAACATTATTATTAATTACTACAAACCCCATTCTCATGTATCTTTTGTATCAACTGTTCAATGTCGTACACAGCGCCATTGGTATCAGGGTACTGAATAAGTACCCCAGCTACGTCACCGCCAGTAAAATCGAAGTCTTTATAAGGACCAACAATTACTTTCGCGTTAACAGGGCTATAATAAAGCAAGCAATAAATTAATCTCTTAATAACTATAGTAAACAATAGCGAAAAAGCAAATATGTCAATTTCCATTCTCTTAACCTAGCTCGTGTCTTGACCACAGCAATAGTTTGAGGATGGCATTGTTCATCCACTAAGAATTTGTTCTTATGTTTATCTCTGATAAAATGCCTATAACGATAATAGTGTTTAAAAATTTAAGTTATATATTAATTGTTAAGTCTCCAGTATAGTATTTCTATTTACTGCCCATAGTGTGAATATATCGCGGCTATTACGGAATGGTATCGGCATTTATTTATGAAATAATATACGCAAAGGGGATTAAGTGAACAGAATTTAGTCAATTTACCCTTTACCGAGTGGCGTGCTTGATATCACTGTAAGCCTAGCTATTCATAACTCCAGATTTTTCCATCATTGCATTCTATGTCGCTACTCAAAAGTCAATGTAAGGTATACTCATGCCGTGGTAAGACCGTAAATCTGGCTTTGCAGTAATATTCATATACTGTAACCAGGGACTACTGTACTAAAGGTAGAAGCTGCCCTTTCCAAGCTTATGTCCATCTGTATCGATGACGTCATCGGTATCCCATAATTGGAGTAATTCATAATTGACTACCTTATAAATGCGTAGATACGGCTGATACAGTTTGTATAGGGTCCAACCCTATGCATAGTAAAGCGGAAACGATTGGGAGATATCTAGCGAGCCTCCTGATTAGGAACGGTTATGTGAAGCTAGGGTAGCCCCCTAACGTTTTTTTTGGCTGAACTTGTGTTACAGTAATATTGAATCAGCGGAACTTCACCGTAAGTACACCGAATACCTCAGCATTGGAGTTAATTTAGTCCCCATATAGGCTACAACAGCAGTGCATATCGAGGTGTACTAGAGATCAGTGTGCTCAATGTAAACATACCGAGTGTAAATTGTCGGTCGTTGAGTACTTAATTATGGATCATTAAATTTGTACATTAGATGTTTATGATAATATATTTAAATGTTATTGGATCTTTAAGAATCTCGATAGCTATAGTACTATCGTTGCACAGATTATTTAAATAATAATTCCTACTGCACTTACTGAATGCTAGAAAAACTGAACATAACATTCGGATTACAAAATATAAGCGTTTAGTAATTCACTCATTTACATGACATCAACCCTAGCTTGTATAAATTTCTTTTTTAAGAAGGCTATACTAGCTGAGTAGCGTCTAATACTTTTGAGTATCTTCTATTTGCCCCGCATTTCAACATGAATTTAATCCTAGGTACTATATGGTACATATGCATGTACTTGGTACAATATATAATTAATGAATACGTATTGGTTCAAGTTCGAAAACTGAAAACCTAAGGAAGTCTGAATATTAGGACTAATTATTTGCTACATTGCTCTAATGTGCTGCTTTATGCACTGCATATGATGAACAGCAGATTAAAAGTTATATCAGTACTATGTACCGTAAAATATCCGATGCTTATCTGTAGTGTAGTGTAAACTGATGTAAGCTACTAAATATAACCTGCAGTAGTATATTTCTGTACTGTAAATTTGGTAAAATTTGAATAGAAACGATTTATGGACAAGGGTATTAATAACTTTCTTCTATACATGCACGACATATCTAAAATATAATGTGCCAAGAAATAAAGTAAGGCATCCTATGATGAATAGCTCTTACCGAAAACACAAAGACATAGCTTCCGCTGCAGCTGTACCTTCATCCAGTAATGATGAATTAGCCATTGGCAATCCCGTTAAATCCGAAACCATAGTTTGATAATTTAATAAACTTTCTAGTCTGCCCTGCGAGATTTCCGGCTGGTATGGTGTATATTGGGTAATCCTAAATCAATAGTTGAAAGATTTACTGTATAAAGTCGTAAGGACAAGAACAAATATTATTTTTGTGCATCATGTTAGCAGAATTATTGTCAGTACCTAATTAAAAATTTTAAAATATAATTTGAAGCATGCAAATCAAATGTTATAAGCATACCAATACGTGTATCTCTACTCACAATAGTATTGATGAGCATGATTGGTCGTGGTCTAGCATAAAGTGAAGGGAATCATACTTGTAACTGATGCCAATAGGAATACTGTAGGTTTAGTAACTATGTATCACTAATGATGCCATAAATTTAGTGATTGAGAATATCGTATGGGTAATACGAAAATTGTGGTGTCATGAGTACTGCTAGGAAAGTCGAAAAAAAAGTATAAAAAATCGTCTACACTAATGGGGTCAATATGAGCTACCAGCACGGTACTAAAGTTGCGATCAAAGTGTGAAAAAGACTTCAAATTTAAAAGCCAACTATGTTGGTATGAATCAAGAATCGCCTACCACACAGATAGTAGAATGTTATATCAGAGCAATTTTGTAATACTTGTAGAGATTCACGCTAGATATCATTCTTTAAAAGAATTGAATGGTAAAAATACTTCTGATGCCTTGCAATGGTGCAATACGTATAGCATGGAATGCACGTTACGTTCTTATCATTAGTACTTCGAAATTATAGTTAATGACTAGAATTTAGAACAAAGTGCTAAAGATCCAATAAAAGCGATACTATAACACAGAGAATACGAAGTGACAGTGTTTAAGAATGCTGACCGCTAGCCGTTCTCGAACATTTGCATAGCGTTGTACGCTTGATTAAGTAAATTAAACAGCGCAGCATTATTCAGCACATAAACACTAAATTTAGAATTTTATCAGAATCATAGCAGATTAATACGTTAATACGTAAGGAAGGTTTGTAGTACTGTACGTCAGCCTACTCTTGTATTGTTTATGCAGGGAGGATATCGAAGAAATACGCCTAATATAACCGTAAAATTTTAATTTGCCTAGGATAACTAGCTTATTAAAGAAATTGATCAATTTTTGTTTGCGAGACAGAAATCAATCCAAGCTTGGAATTATAATTTGGAAAATTCAATTTTGTAGCTTCAGATGATGACTCACTACATTAGTAACGCTGAGCTTGCATTATCGCCAAGTTCGTTCAATTCAATTTTAAAGTACACGACTGATAAAAGTTTATGCATAGGGTCAGTATTTACTGTATATTCTCGATGGCTACTTCTACTGTATATGTACTTCTATAAAATAAGTTAAGAGTATTACAGTGATAGTATTCCTGGCAAGAATACTTTCGAGTTAGGTATTGAGTTGGCTGCTACCTATTCAGCTTGTACGTCATTTTTAGCACTTACCATCCAGCATTTTCAAAGAGACCTCTTCTAATACACTTAGGAACGACACAATCGGCATAGCCCATACCAATATAGGATCGGAAAATTCTATTTTCTTCTGCAATTTTTTGAATTCTAAGGGAAAGCTTGCGTTCATCTGGTGATATAGATGCAATATGTGTAGAAGTGTCAATAGTGTTGTTGAATAATACCTGTTATAGTAAGAAGTTCAAATGCATGCAGTAATAGATGTTATCAGATTGACAGTAGTACAATTACAAAAGAAACTATGGCATTTATTTCAGTCACAACTGTGTAAGCATTCATGCATGACTCATGTAGGATAAATGGTGGTATTCATTGAGGTTATCCAAATGAAAAGTTGAATTACTATACAGCGGTTGATAAGTGCTATGACATTTCTAAAATTTCGATACAATCCATTGTGGTACTCACCGTAAGGCTCTTGTAAATTCAACTGATGATTTATACGGATATTTTCCGGCACGGACAGGTCAATTAGTTCCTCAATTGACTACAGAAAGATCCAATTGTGAGTCTACTGCATCATGACTAATAAAATTATTATCATTTAGTAATCTAATGCTATTAAATGTGTCAAATTTCATATCGAAATGGGATATTGTAAGATGAAATTGCTGTATCCAATACATCAGGCATCTTTTGCACGATTAAAGAGTAATGAAATGGGCTACAGTGATCGCAGTTTTTGGATTGATAGAAATACCCATAAAATCATGGTAGTTGACCTCGGTTACGAAACCTTGGACTACCATTACCATAAAAGTGGCTAATTTCCTGACTCCTGGAAAGTAAAGTGCAGTAGCTGACCAGCCATTATTTCTAATAGAAGATAATTGCTTACAATAGTAGTGCAATCAAAGTCATTTCCTGACTACGTATGCTTAAGATGGGATTGCATTAGTTGGATCAAGTTTTACTTCTTGTCAGTCAATAGAGTGCTCGGTTTCAGTTGGACAAAGTCATTGATTGATGATGATGATGATGTTTACTGTAGTTGACTGTCCATAGTGGAGTGCTAGTTGTATTCATTGACAATAGGGTTATCTTATTCGACGACAGTTCATGGTAGTGGCTGGAGTAATTTTTTATACAGACTTCTCATGTTAGTGCGTATCCAGTGATGGAAAAGGTATCCAAGAGTTGATTTAGTGCTTGTCCTTTTGAGCCGTTGCAAGGTGAAAATAACATGGACAAACAGTAGACTATGCTGTTGAATACAGTCAAGATAACAACTCGTTGTGTACGCTTTTTACCTGTAAGCCTAATTCTTGTAACATAGCAGCTTGTTCCTGTGGTCCTGGACCGATATGGCGTCTGATAAAGGAATCACTTGCAGGTAGAACTGATTGATATATAGTGCCCTTTTTACCAGCATCCACCATTGCATTTCTACTCTCAGCCGAATCCGATTGCATTTCCACTGACAATTCTGTAGCGCATCTTCGTCGACCTTGATGAACGATGCCTCTACTCGACGATACCAAGGCTGTAGTCAAACGAGCGTAACGACTGAGTCGATACATTGCGAGAGCCAAGTGAGTTTTCCGCTATACTTTTACAAGATCAAAGTCGATTTCTATCGTAGGCAAATTTCCTCCCAAGCTGTCCTTACGAATTGAATACAGATGGTGATGTTTAAAGAATGGAATGATAGCTTTATATTACAGCAATAACCCCCTCCAAAAATAAAAAGAAAAAACACTCTTTGACGTGAATGTTTTCACTGGCATTGGTTAGTCCTATACATAAATAAAAAAAGTTTCATACGTTCTATATATACTGTTGTAACTAGCAATGACCAATGGCAGTTTGTATTAAGAAAGACTGTATCCAATATAGGACTCGTGGTGGGCGCTGTACGCTTGTATCAATGGTCGACAACCGGTGCCTCAACCGGCTCAACGTACTGACTAATCCACCAATCTGAAAATAGGCCAGAGTGTACCGTGTACAGTGCACAGTACAATGTACAGTACTGTACTGTATTCGCCTGAGCCTGTTATTGCTGTACAGTACTGTAGAGCGACAACACTAGAACTGGAAAGCCGATGACGCATCAATCTATGTTCTGGTTTGATCGATTAGCCAATCAGCGACCGCTAAAGGCCATGACGTTAGAGAAAAAGATTGTTTATATCCAAACCAGTTTCACTTCTAAATAGCGTCTTGTTTTGGACTATGTTTGGTGTTTTCGTTCTGCAGTTGATTTATGAGTCAGGAGAGTGTTTTACTATGAAAGAGAAAAATTGCAGGCTTAATTACGGTATTGATGATGAGGATATACCATCAATCATTTATAAGCTACACTTTATGAACAACAGAGAGGGGAAGAGTACAATCTTGTTCAAGTTGTACTACAAATGTAGCAATCGTTATTGATATTCATTCACTACACATTGACTGTATCATACGTATTACTGTTTTGCATACAAAACAAATTCCACTCTACAGTAGGCTACAAAGAGGAATAAATCTATAACTGGCGTCATGGTTAATCCACAGTATAGATAGATAGATCCAACATTGGCAATGTTGTCATTCTAATAACTTATAACTTGAACTTGAATTTGAAATAGAATAACAACGACAACATGACGTATTTGATTGATTATATGACTCATATTATCTTCATTCCTCAGTGGTAGTCAGCAGCTTAAAATAGTGATCAACTGTCGATCATAGCAAGTATTTTGTTCAGCGCTGAAATCCATAGAAACCACTGTTGTATATCACTGTCATCATGCAGCTAATGACGGTCGACTACAGTATATACTGCACAGTGTACAGTATTGTAGCCCTGCACTGGAGTACTGTACTGTACTGTACAGTACAGTATTTCTGTACTGTATGGTGACTTTGGTGAGGGCGTCCGCAAAGTTTGGACGCGCTTGCGCTTTACAGTCTTGTGGAGAAAGCGATTGTTCTGTTGTGTAGTACGCTTTTATTTCCAGTTCCGATTGTCTAACTTTAATACTAGCGTGCATCAAGTGTTTGCTACACTATACTAAGCGAACGGCACAACGATCGACGCATTCAATCTTCAAAATAAAATGTTGAACCATGGTCTACTAGATTTATCTAGCTATATCTAGTTATATCTAGTAGTCCACGATTAAACATAGTCTAATTTTAATGAAGTAACTAGGAACTTCACGTGCAAAACTATAAATTCATAATCCGCGTGTCTGTCAATGACGGGTCTTGACTAACGGTTATTACGCTATACTGTACGAAGAAAATTTCACAACTATTAACGCATTCAATCTTAAAAAATAAAATATGTTTCACCATGAACTACTAGATAAATCTAGTAGTCTATAGTTCAACATTGTCGAATCATAGTTAAGCGACTAGGAACCTTACCGCGTCAGACTATAAATTGATAAGCGCGTGTTTGTGAATGATGTGTCTTGACGAACAGTTACTACACTAGACTGAGGAATTTCACAACTGTTAACATATTCAATCTTTAAAATAAACATCTTTAACATGGTCTAATTTGAATGAATTAGCGGCAAGGAGTCTCACTGCACCAGACTATAAATTGATAACCGCAAGTCTGTCAATGATAAGTCTTGATTAACAGTTACTACACTATACTAAGGAAATTTCATAACTATTGGTGTATTCAATCTTTAAAGTAAATATGTTTAACATAGTCTAATTTTAATTAAATAACTTAAAATACATTTCATAGAAACTGATCTAGTATTACATATTTAAAATTTTTTAAATACTATGCGTGTCATTAAAATGACAAAAAACTAAAATAAATAAATAAAGTCAGTGGCAATTGCTATACGGAGACAGTATGATGTCGTATTTAGCTCTGTCATTAGTATTCACTCGTTCCCTATCGACTATAATGTGCGCGTACGTAAGCTAACGCATAAAGTACAAGCTATATAAAATATACCTCAGATAATCACATGGCACAAGCTGCAACCTGCACTTACTATAGAATGGTAGAACACGGGGACTTGATATCAGATTATTCAGTTCTAATCACTATGGTTGATTCTATAGTGTAATGGGCTTCCAATCCCTAGCTTCGACATTAACAATATAGTAATAGAAATGCAAATCTGGCCAAGAATTTGTTCTATATTATTTTACTTGTAGAGCAATACTTAATTTCTCGGCTGGTATAAACTTTAACTTGATTTAATGGCATTTAGTTAATTTCAGTTGAAGCCATTTAAAAGCTTTTGGATACGTTGCACAATTTTACAACCAATACGTATGTGTACATTATGTATACGCCGCTTATACATATGAATATATATATACGTGTACATATATACCAAGATACAGTATATGTATACATAGACATGCATAATGTAAGGCCAGGCTGCACTCTTGTCAGAGATTACAGGAAGAGCAAGATGGTCAGACCTCAATTAGCTGCATCAACTCAATACACAGAAACGCTGTAATATTGCAAGAGGAAATCAAGACAGAGGAACTTTAAAACATAGCTTCAACAGCAATAGAAGAAACTAACTTAGCACAAACGCACTGGATAGGATAAGATAACGTAAACAACATGAAAATAACTAGGTGATCCATTTTATTTAACTACTGCAACGATCAGATCATACGATGCTACCGTCGTGCAAACATTCATCAGCCATTCGTCAGGCACATATCTAGAGTCAACGTAATTATAATTCTATAGAGTATCGATGCGCAAAATCATATTCAAAAGTAGTTTTCTTTTTTATTAGCTTGCTATCTACATTTGCATAGGCAGTAGAAATTAATATTTGTTTGTAGCTCAATGGGGCTATGCAATACTATGCCGTAGATAAACTATTGGATATTGCACAATTGCAGTGAATACAGTACTGTCAAGTACAAAACATCCTCATTTTGCAAAGTTACTGAAATTCAAGAATTTGATATAAATATGTCGTGTTGTGTTTGCCTGACTCTAAAAGTAGTAAAACATTTGATAATGAACGGTGCTGATGTAGGTAATATGTCCGTGAAATTTGTGTACTGTAAATCACAGAACAGCGTACAATTTATATAATTGTAGCTATAGGGGCGGCATAGCTATTTTATAGTAACGCAATGAACCTGATCAACGCGTATTTATTGCACTTTTTAGGCCTATCGAAGTAAAAGCTAAGAATGACTCGGCAATTTTCTATTTTCTCTTACATTTTATACAGATTGAACAATTTTGTATTTAGTATAAAAACATGTATGTCGTATTTTAAGAGCTCTTTGTCAACAGTTTTTGCCCTCTTTGAATAACAGTGTAATGAAGACGGGTAAAATGGATATAAAAGGCTAGTAATAATTTATGCAAAGAAATACTTCTAAGTGAGTTCACCAAGGCCTGGTTTATGTGAGTGAATTAAACTACAGCATAAAATAGACTAGAGAACTTAACGTCTCCACGGCACGATAGATAACAAACTAAATGCAGGTGTTATATAACAGAGAAAGCAATAATTAATGATACCACTTATATTCTGTAGAAAAATAATTGTATACTGTTGTATTGCATCGCATATATAAACAGATGTTGCACTTTGAAAGTATTGCGATCAATTCGTTTATCACATAGCAACGTTGTACTTTTCAAATATCCTGAGCTACGGATGTCACAATCATATTTGTATAGAGTAATGACAACAATATTGCTTTTCTGTAAGGGCTAAATATAGCTACGATTTGTTAACAGGTCATTCGGATAAAAATTCAAAACGGTAATCCTAGCTTCTTAGTCATGAACGGCTCGGATTGCGGAATTGATGTAAATATTTTAGACCAGATTAGAGTCAGAAAAAATGGCATATGACGGACCTCTAGTGTGCAGTATACAATACCGACAAGGCCAGAAATTACTATTTGACTGACCTCTAGACTAATCTAAAATTATTACAGTCAAAAACAACGTTAATGGAGACAAAGTTCTTAACCTAACAAACAAGTTAGTCGCTATATTGTTAAGCTATGTCATGACTTTTAGAGAAAATCATTCATTATCTAGTTCTTGACCTTAATATCATCAATAAAAGATAACAAACTGTTTTATTTGATTGACGACTAGAGCGGAAATAGATGTGAGAATATAGAGCTTATTTTAATTTTCTTAATTAATTATCCTAGTCTGAGAGTAAATTCTTGTATACATTATAATGTAAAACTATTTTGCAACTCAAGTATACGCATACATTAGAATGGTAAGAATTAATACCGGATTACGGTTTGTACGACAGAATATTCTATTTGTGTATATATGAACGTGACCGTATATATATAATTATTAATTATGATGTTTTTGCAAAAAAGGTAGAGAAAATCGAATTATTTTCTATCTAAAAGTAATTTACAATAATAATTTGGCTAAAAAGGCCTTATATTGATG